ATTTGCTGGAGTGGCTTCTCCAGGGGCGGGTGTGGATAGAGGAAGGAAGCCAAGGGGTGCCCAAGCAGCTGGCCTTGTGAGACTGGTCTTCGTCTGGCCTCCACTCATTAACCTTTCAGGCATGATTGGATCTACGGCTATGAAAAGCCATCCCGTAGAGCTCGCAGGGTCATGGAGGCACGCAAGCCAACATACCACGTCAAGGTGCAGTCTCGTATTGTTGGAGATAACTTATTAGACAAAAACATCAAAAGTAATATTGCATTTAATCGAATTTTGTTGACAAACACCAAGAAAACCGTCGATAGGCTTTTCTCGGTAAAGTCTTTAGTTATTCCATTGGATGTGCTCACTGTTGCAAAGACTTGCTTAAATAATGAATCTATCTGTCTGTCATCCTGTATTCAGCACCTGTACTTTTTATACCTAAAAGAGAGAGTGATCGGAACAAGGATCTTGTAGATAGGGCGTGAGTCGAAAAGCTGGGAAGCACTGGACAGCTGCTTCGGGTGGGTAGTGTGCTTGCGTTCTACTTGTGAGGTACCGGGTTCGGTCCCCAGTTGAGTTGATAGATTCGCTCTGCTAATGAGACTCAACCAGGTCGAAACATCTGTACATTGCTTCCTAGGTTTTCAGCTGACGCCTCATTTACGCGACGAATTCATCACATAATCAAACCAAATCCACCATTCCTCCTATAAAAAGCGGTATTCACTTTACCATTAGCAAATAACCGAGTTACTTATATTGCAAATACTAACTGATTTGGGCCAACCACCCTTCAGACTTCAACTTCGCGCACAATTCTGAGTTCATCCAGTTAATCATTCACCCGGGAAATACTTGACTTGAGTTTTGCTCTCACTAGAGTTCATTAGTAGTGCATATCTGCTGTCTCGTCCGGACCACTTTATCGAAAATCTATGTGATATCACGGTACCCACCAGCTTACACGTAAGTTGATTAGAATTGCCAATTCGTGTCTGTTCATACTTCGTCTTCAGAAGTGATCACTTTTGTGCCCTATGAAAATAAAGAGGCACAGTATACGATCTGCTACCTCCTATCAAAAGCCTCCCACGAACTCAAGTTTGCCTTGCCGATTTGGTTATACTTTACTTTTCGGCGGTTGGCTCCTAGGAGAGAATAGGCCGGTTTTATGGATATAATATCCATGAAACTTCCTGGGAGTTAGGTACAAGAAACGTCCCCAGCGTCACCCGGCTTTGGGTCGAGGTGGCATCTCTAGCCTTCGCACATCGAAGTGCTAACTACAAGGCAGCAGGAAGGTAGCGTATGGTTGCCGGTGGCCCTCTGGACAGAGCTCATATGCCATTGAGAGTTACTAGCTGAACATCCCTGATGAGTACGGAGCCATTGCATTGACTGTTGAGTCGTGAAAGCGACTTCGTTCGCCCAACACGTAAGTTAGACGCCTACTCGCCGGGAGTTGAGCTCCCGGTTACTCTCAAACTGGTTTGGCCCGCCTGTCGAGCGGTCTACCGGGGTGTGGCCGCTGTTGTATCCAAACAACTTCTTGGAGCCATAGGTCAGAGCTGAGTACCTGGTGGAGACCAAAAACCGGAGGATGCCCGTAAGGGGCCGACACTCCTCCGAGTCAGAGGTACTAGTCCTACCAGACACCCAATACACCCAATCAAACCTACTGGGCTAGATTCTCAATTTCCATTTCGGGTGAAATCTGAAGGATGGTCAGTTCAAATCAGTGTCGTTTGTCCCACGGTACTACTCAAATGCGAATTAATGAGAATTATCGTGATAACACCTTGCCCGATATAACAACCAAAGCTACAAAAAATGTTTCCTTGGTTTATAACATCATTCTACAACAAGATTTCGATGCAGTTGGCTCCAGGTGTAGTCACACTGACCCTTAAGTTCGTTCCCATGTTTCCCAGATAACGAAACCTATGTACATGTTCGTAGCAACATGAAGTTTTGGTGGTAGGCAGCTTCACTGTCGTCAATCTCAATACCGCGTCTAACCAAGCGATGGCTTATTTTGTTCGCCATCTCAAATCCCGCTGCTTAGGTTGCCAGTTTCAATAACTGAACAGGTCTTCGTAACAATGGGGTTTTTCCTATCTGCTGCTCATCATACATGGATGTGTAATAGAAAAAATGAACATGACGCTATATGGAGGTGACTAAATATGCCGTATTCAAAACATACCGGTACTGTTCACCGTGTGGCGTTGTCGTCAAGGGCACACTCGAGAGTCTAATATTGAATGTTGAATTGTTTTACATCCGAGACAGGACAGTTTTCTCTGATCCCTCAAAGAACTTTTGTTTCAAAATAACCTAGTTCTCGAACGGCTAGTGTGTTCAGCTCTGCAAGGATTTACGTATTCACAGTTGCGCCAAAATTGACGGTAGTTTAGTTGTGCTACAGGAATATCCGTCATGCCGCGTGTTGTTCAATTTGGAGTGATCTATCCGAATCACGTATTCATTCTGTCACACTCGGCACATACCTCGCACACATGGTTGATGAAAATTAGTTTGTATACACATACAGTAGTTCGATCGTATCACATGATTGTTGCGACACATTTATGTTTGAGTCGTCAGTTGGTTTGTACGTCACTTTATTGACGTCGTGTATGCAGCGATTTAAACGGAACAATTTCTTCTGTCTCAGCATTTAGTTCTTTAATGTGTCTGTTCTATTCATTGTGAACTCTTTTTCTGTTTTCAATGAGTTCATAGAACGAGAGATTTTTCGCTAGGTTTTCTACACTCTCGTTTGTTCAATTTTTACTGATCATGAACTTGTCAAAATCAACTTGAGAAACTGTCGTGATGTGATCGTGACATCATTCCATCAATTTCTTTGTTGTACCGGCCAACAGCAGTCAATGTCGCGCTGTGCATGTTGTCACCTGGTACCTCAGAATCATCCACTAATTCGACGGTTAGAGCAATGCGGTGAAGAGGCGTTCGGTTCGGTCCGCGAATTCACCAATGAACAACAATTGATCGAATTAATGCGCAATGCCCACGCACTCAGTCTTCAACCCCTGCTGATCCGACTTCGGGTTTTGGGCCCAGACCACCCCGATACGATTTATTTCATCAGGTAATTGACTGGAATCCATTTTCTTTATGTTCATGATGTTTTGCAAAATACGAACTACATCTGACGT